GGTTAAATAAACACTTGGTTAACTTCTCTCAGTATAGGGTAGGTTATGGTCAACCCCACAATATTGTTGTTATCACTGAATGCATTTAAAGTCATCACGAGACTACCTAACGGTGCCATCGCCTTAACTTTGTTAGGAAGCGCCGATCACATTCCACACACATAATGGGAGAGAATAATTATTGCCTAATTGACATCTGTTTCGCTCGGTGTAATTGTTTCGAATTCTTCATAAATACCTGCCACATTTGCAATGCACAACCTGGATGACCAATAATTCTCCGAATGTTGGGTGTATCAATTTCATTTGCGAGACTTAATTTATGTATTATTTTTAATGAATTTCATTTGCTAGGTGATTGTGTGTATGTACGGCAAGAATCGATCACTTCACTGAGGATAGATATTACAGGCATTTTATCTAGCGACGTGATATATATTAGGTCATATCGGATCTAGCTGATGAAGTTTTAAGATAAGATAAGTCTGTTGGTATGGCCATTAATTGGCACCGGAGCTATCAAAATGCTGCGATAGCAATTTGCACATATATATTTTCGGGAGGGAACTCTTTTGATCGAGATCATATGGCCTAATGTAGAAGAGACACTCACACCAACATACGTACTTCATACATGTGTGCATAAATCTTTAGATTATTTCTGTTCTTGGCGGCGCAACTGGGGTATCTAACATTTTTCTCAATCAGAGTGTTGTCAGTCGCTAAACGACCTTAAAAGTGGTAAAGTAACACTCAACCAGCTACCCAACGAACGAACCAACGAAAATCTGTGACACCCCAGCACTCGTCCCCCTTCCCCAGTATCGAACGTTGCCCGACGCCATGGCACAAAGTGTAGAACAGCAATTATTTTTGGAAGCTGAGAAGATAGATTTTAGCCAACTTAGCCAAGATGAAATCGAAAGTCTGCAATCGAAGCGTTTATCGTCAATTTTGAGGCATGGTGGTCTGTGGCAAGCCACCTGGTGCGGCATTCTATCCATCTTCCAAGGTGTTTCCACATTTCATATTTTCACCTTTGTCTTTCAAGTGAGTACAAGATATAACCACCAATTCAGCCATGCGAATGGCATGAATGGGAAATGCTGTAGTTCTGGGACTGACGAATTGCCAATGCGAATAATCACGTTCACCACCTACCTACCTGGCCACAAATTCGTCTATCGATTGATTGGTAATGTTAGACTTCTTTTTTTGAATTTGCCGCTTTAATTAGTTGCAGTGTTTTGGTTTTATTGTTGGCTTGCACCCACCAACATCGTGTTGTTGTTGTTGTGATTAATTTTCATGGATATTGTGAGACGTTTTGCAATAAATTGCTGTTGTGTTTTTTTTTTTTTTTTGGTTTGGCTTCATTGCACTTGTTTGTTGGTCGGTCGTTCGCTCGGCTGGTTGGCTGGTTAGTTGGTTGCAAGCGGGAACACCATCGTGTTTGGTTTTTTGTTACAATAGCCCTCACCCACTAATTCAGCAATTGGGGGAAGGGCAAACCAGCCAACGATTTGTAATCAAGGCAAAATTATTAACCACAATTTTTAGAATTAGCCTCTGCCGCACCGGCAACATGACTTCAGCCAACATATTTACTAACTGTTCATTTGTCCAGTGATTTGTGTGTGGTTCTTCTTTTGCCCACTGGTGCTTCGTCAGTTGTTCCTTATCATGGAACGAACGCTTGACATTGATGCCGCAGCAATGAAACCAATCACAGGCAATTAATTATGCGAATTGTTTTCTTGTTTCCTGGCAATGAAATAAGGCTACGACTTTTTTGCGACACTTAAAGTCTGTACTTGCAAAGATCTGGTGAGATTCAAGGCAAGGCCAATCATACAGAATGAAGCGATAAGCCAAAAATGATGCAAAATTCGTCAATATTGGATATGTCTGATTACTTACCCAGTAAGATTTACTCGGTAACTACTAGCCGGAGCGTAATTTCACTCAAATGAAAAAAAGTATGGCAAAAAGTGTGGGGGTGTATTTAATAAAAATAGCTGATTTGTTTGAATAAATATCACCAACGAATGTGATAGTGTAAAGAAAAATACTAAAATACTAAAAAATAAACTAATATTTCAATTATATTTGAAAATAACAGCTGGTTGGTTGAATTTTCTAGATCTTGCCAGAGATCAATTTCTGCCAGAAAATCCAACAGCTCCCAGAACTGCCAAAATATCTCTCTTTATTCACTCTCATCTACTGGACTTTTGAGAAAACGGACAACTGTTTGGTGACAACAAATGTTTGGTAACAATTGTTACAGTAGAAAAGAAATCTCCCACAAACTCTTTCTCTCTTTCTCATATTAGTGGCCACCTATGTCGTAAAGCGAAAACCAGCGAAAATTTGTTAATATGATTATGGTTTTTTCTAGATGTCACATTTTGATACCCTCCAACATAGAATGGAGGACATATTAAGTTTGGCGTTTGTTACACCTCGAAATATACATTTTAGACCTCACAAAGTATATGTATACATTCTTAATCAGCATAAAATTCAATGTCGTTTTAGCGATGTCCGTCTCTCTGCCCAATATAACTGTAATGGCTATACGCGGATCTGATCTGGAGGTACAGTTGTATATTGAGTATACCAACATTTGGATCTTTATAGACAGTTCTATGCAGGGATACAGGAAACGTATACTGGAAACACAAACTGCTAATTTACAGAAAATTCAGTTTAAAATTTTGACAAAAAAAAAAAACCAAAAAGGCTTTTTGGTTTGTAGCAAAATTAGCAGTTTGTGTTTCCAGTATACGTTTCCTGAATCCCTGCATAGAACTGTCTATAAAGATCCAAATGTTGGTATGGTCATCATACAACTGTACCTCCTGATCAGATCCACGTATAGTCCCCATATAAAAATACTCCCCAATATTTGGTATTTTGATGATTTTAGATACATTTTTTAACAGAATTATTTCAACCTTGTTATTTGGAGTTCGTAATAGGTATTTAAAAATGTACTGGGAACTCTGTCAAATACAGAATATTGGTGCTGCTTTTCGCTGTCATTTCTAAGCCACTCGTCCGACAATTGTTAAAATTATTCCAGTGACATCTCATTATATTGTTAACAAGTGTAAAAACCATTTTGGTGAGAATTTTCCAGAAAAAAGTTATATTTTGATGGAATTCAAGCGTGATAGTGTGATTCCTTTATATTTGGCTGGAAAACCATAAGTGACTATCGTTAGACCACTCCAGCACTTAAATGTGAATAAATGTTTTGTGTCTCGTACCATCGCTCGCTGAACATATCGCAAAATTCCATTCGGCAAATATTGAAAAATGCGCTCGAGGTAAAGTCATTGAAATTCCAAAAATGCAAGAACTTACACCGCAGCGGAAAGGAAATGGACTCAAAAGAGCGAAAGAGTTGCTTTGCTTGGCCGAAAGTGGTGAACTGCCGAATTTGGTTTTCTCCGATGAGAAAACATTCGTTGTCCAGCAGATTGTAAATCAACAAAATGATCGTGTTTACTTGTCAAAGAGGTCAGCTGAAAATATGCACCTTCGGTTGGCCACCAGAACTCAAACGCCGGCCATGGAAATTTTGATGCTATTTCCGACATTTTTTGCTTTCATTCAATAAAATTTAAAAAAAAAATGTAAAAATTATGGCGTTTGACTTTGTTGCAGTTTTAAAATCACACCCTGTATATAGGCGACTCCAATTATGAACAACATTTAAAAAGTAAATTGTTCATCATACATTGACAAGAACATATATCGAAAGTCGATGTGCAAATCAAATTGGATCATTTGAATTCTGATCACCTGTTGGCTATTTAAACCGATTCGGGGTATTTTTGCGGTCATGAATCCACAGCATTCTAAAGTATTCAAAATAAAAATATACATACCCGTACATATGTACACTTATGTTATGAATTTTGATGTTTGTGAAGTTATAAACGATTATTGTTTTCATTCATGGGTGCTGCTCACGCAAAACTACAAAAAAAGAGATCATGTCACCGGAGAGGCTTGGCAGAATAAACTTAAGTAAATTATTGATAAAAGCCGCATGACAACGTGAATTCAAGTAAAAAGTTTTCAATCAATTCAGATTGTGTTTACAAAACGAATGTTAATGTACCCGAGTTTGATGACCTAAAACAATCGGAGTATTAATTAAAAATGGATAATAACTTCTTAGCATTATTTTAGTTTTCTATTTCTATTCCTATAAAAGCCAGTCCATTATTCGTGATTAACCTCTTTCCAAATGCGATCAAGTTCAAGTGTACAACTACTTGTACCTGCCTGTGAAATGTTGATAGTTGCACTCAAGTGCCACCGTATTTGGCCATGATATATATTTTTCCCCGTCAAATAATTGCATTGGCACCTGAGTATCTCCAATGCAATGAAGCCAATTAAATATCACAATGATATTTGACGCTTCAAATTATTGGAGTTCCATGGCATTTCTGCAACGTGCAACATTGTGCCACCTTTGACATTTCGAATTGGAAAACTCACATTCAAGTCGACAAACATTCTTGTCTCTCAATAACAAAGAACTGATCTATTTGGTCACGTTTTCGATCGTTATGTAAATTTGATATCTGATACAACTGTTTGTATATTCGTTCGTTCGTATTTGTCACCTGTTGCATGTCAATGGAACGGACTGGACTGGGGAGACCACACCACACAATAAACACCAAAGCCGTTTGGTGGACATGCTAACGTTCATTCAGTTCATTGTTGACACATTTAACAAAAGAGTACTTCCCATAATTGGTTTTATTGATACAGAGTTCTTTAAAAAAATAGTTGCATACATCAAATTACTCAGTTCGTTTTGACCCAATGAAACTATTCGCTATTCCAACTACAAGACTTATATCCACTCTCAAATTCTATTTATAAACATTTTATTTCTGTTCTTGGAGAGAAAACAATTAAATACACAATAAATTCTCTTCTTCCCCTTTCCTCCAAAACAACATTTCTAGACAGCCGACAAAGATTTCTGGTGTGCCCGACCACAAAATATGATGGACATGAATGCCAGCGAATGGAAAAATCTAACCCAGACTACCGATTCGTGCTCAATCTGGAATATTGACTTTAGTTCGATGGACTCCATACAGTCCCTATTTAATTATATGGCAACATCGGATGCCCCGCCAAACTACACCCAGTGCACCCAGTTTGAATTTGATGGAGACCAATCCATGACATTGGTCCAGGAATTTGGTTTGGTTTGTTCAAAGCGTCAGCTGCTGAGTGTGGTTGAAATGTGTTTCTTGGCCGGGGCTGCAGTGGGCAGTGTTTCTAGTGGTTGGATTTCAGACAAATTTGGTCGCAAACATACCCTGATGAGCTTCGCCCTATTGCAAACGACTTTTGGTAAGATTTAGTTTTCCCCCAAATCTATTCACATGTCCAATTAAATGGAATTATCTCTACACACACACCCACAAACAGGCACTCTCTTGGCCTTCTCGTCGTCCTTGGCCATGTACATGGCTTTACGTGTGATAATTGGATTCGCCTCGATGACAGTGGCCGTTGTTAGTTTCGTGCTAGTGGTCGAATTGGTCTCCGGCAAGTGGCGCACCGTGATTGGCATTTTGAATATTCTGCCGGTTGCGGTAACGTATGTTCTGACAGCTGGTATATCCTACTTCGTGCGAGATTGGCGCACATTGCAGCTGGTCATATCGTTGCCATGGTTTGCCATATTATGCATTTGGTGGGTAGCATTTGCTCAAACTTGTCCATGCGGTCAAATTAAATTAAATTTTCATTTTTCTACCCCCACCCCCACAGGTACTGCGTCCCCGAATCGCCACGGTGGCTTTTGGCCAGAGGTCGCCTGGAGGAGCTGTATGCCATTGTTGAGAGGGCGGCTCGTCTAAATGGTACCACATTGCCGGCTAACTACAAAAAATCACTGGAGGCTGCAGTGCCGCCCTCAGCGTCCAGTGACCAAAATGCGCCGACGTCTGTCGTCAATGGCTCTGTCGACGGCGATGCAGTCAATCCCTCAATGAATGATACAAATACCAAGGCAGCGGAGCTGGATGCCAACGCAAGTCCATTGGTTGTAGTTTTCAGCCGAACCTATTTGCGTACCACCTGTTTGACCCTGGTTGTCTGGCTGACTTTGATAATTATTTATTTCGGCCTGACTCTACATCTCAGCAACCTTGGTGGCAACATTTATGTAAATACGGTAAGTGTAATCCGGAATGGCCTCTGGCCCCAACGGCCTCCACCACCTTGCTTTTGCTCGCTACGGCAGGGGGTGATTCGTTCTTGGCATTTACAAACTTATCTGGATATCCCTGATAAGTTTTCTGAATTGAGTGCGGTCGTCGGCAGGTCTCCCTCTCTCTGCTCACATTGGTTTCCATTAATGTTTTGCATTCAAACAAAAACGATGAAATCTATTGACATATGTATTTCAATAACTCAAACTGACACACACACACACAGCTACATGCATATTCATTCACACTTACGTTAAGGATGTTAAATTACAAAATGCACTAAGTTGTAATTTAACAATGCACTATTCCCGATTCAGGATCGAGTAAAATTTTGACACTTTGTGGAAGAGTTACTCGAAGGATTGTTGTCAGGCCTAAATTTAATACGAAAAAATTACGATCCGCTAAGTTTGCATTAAATCGTTCATCGTGGTGTGTGATTATTGAAAAAGTTGAAGAGTAGTTTCATGTATCTCATTTATTCAGATAAGCATTCCCAAGTAAGCAGAGGAGCCATCAACAATTTCTATTGCGCTAAATGTTCCCCCAAGATTTTCCATGTAACAGGTGCATCTGTTTGTGACAGATAATGCCTAAAATTAAATATTTCTAGTTTTTATAACCCTACAAAAACCAATAGGACCGCCATATATCATTGTGTATCATTACAAATTATGTGGGGAAATGAAGATGAAATTGCAGTGACATCGACTTAGTTCGCTTTGCATAGCAGTGTAGTTAGCATCCGACTTCTCTATTGCTGTGACACATGGAAATTGTATACATACTTATCAACAATTTACAAATATGAATTTTCTATTTATCTCTTTTTTTGTGTGTTTTCCTGTGAATTATGAATTTATTTATGTTTTGGCGCCCAAACACACACACACACACACACCGCCACAATCATCTACAATATGCATCTCGAACAGGCCATTGCGGGTGCCGTGGAAGCCGTTTCAATATGCCTGAGCGTGTTTGTTGTCCTGAAATTGGGTATTCGCTTGAATTTAATAGCCTATATGCTGATACCGGGCATCTGTTGTTTGGCCGTCAATATTGTGCCCAAGGGGGATGAGAATCTTATTTATGTGATAGCATTGGCCATGATTGGTAAGTGTCATCTGTGATCCACGACAATACGAGTGTAATAAAAAATTGAATTTCCTTTGAACTTCGAACAAACAGCCAAATGTATTATTGGGGCAAACAATGCCATTATCCCCACCTACACGGCCATGCAATACCCAACGGTGGTGCGTAACTTTGGTGTGGGCATGGGCAATCTGGCTGCTGGCGTCGCACTGATACTGGTCCCATATATGTGGCTTTTGGTAAGACGAATTAAATCAAATTTAGATTTTCGCCCTTTTCGATTGACACAAGGATGGCTTTCTTCTTTTGGCATATTTTCAATAGGAACACATAGATCCCTTGTTGCCGATGAGTATAATGGGAGTGTGCGGTCTTATTGGAGCAATTGCGTTGGCAATGATGAAAGATGTTCATCCGTGATTTGGACACCGACCCGACACTCTGTGCGTGTCTTTGTGTGCATGTGTAACATTAATCATCAACCATCTGTGATAAAAAGGGATTCATAATTTGAGGCACAGAAATAGTTATAACAATTTGTATATTGTTTAACTTTCGATTAAAATTTGCTCGGTATTTCATTCGAGTTCCATAAATGTAAGTGTGAGAATAATTTCATTATTCATAACATATCCGGGACAAAATCTACTTCTTAGACCTAAATTAATGTAGGTGGCTATGTTTACTTTATTTTGTGGTAAAAGGTAAAAGCTATTTGATTTAAGCACTCCCATTGCCCAGTCGGCGAAAATGATTGTTATTCGCCATGGGTTTCAATTCAAAATTGCACCCAGGCTTATGAATGGATTTGTTGGTAAGCCGCCTTAATAGAACATAGTAAGTTAAGTATTCCTATATAGGTATATGTGTTAAATTTTGCCCACCAATTCACATTCATTTAATTTGAGTTAAGAAATATTTTATTTATACCCACAAAAATACTATGTTGATACTTTATTCATTAATGGTCCTTCATAAAATTCAGAGAACGATGATGAAAATTCCAAGAAAGGTGAATCTCGATTCATGAATGAAAATTGTTTTATAAAGCTATTGGTTATTATTTCACATTGTTCTATGTAAATTAAGCTATATGTATCTAGTTTAAGTTTAATTTGTTTATATGAAAATAAAAAGTTTAATTTTTGTTAAAGAAGACAAAACTAAGATTCCTTTACTTAAATGAAATATGCTCAATTCAAAAAGAAAATAAAAATGAAACTTTTAGAACATATCACTTGGTTTGCCTGGGGCGTATATCTCCCCAAACATATAAATGGTTATGTGCTTGGGGCATATGAGTGTAAATGTACGAATCATAAGCCGACACTTATTGCATGTTTTTGAGAGTTATTATTTTTTCAAAATTTTAAAGAAACGCGTAAAGTAATAGCAATAGTGTTCAATATGTTGACCCTTTGTGGAGAAGGTATCGGGAGGAGCAAACTGGAATATTTTGTATTCACTCTAGTCCTAGTTTTTGTAAGAATGGTTAAAGTTTAAAGAGAGTTGTAGAACTTTTGAATTTAAATGAGTTGTAATTATTCAAACTGTATACCCTTTGTTAGGAAGGTACGGGAAAAATGGGTCCAATCAAATTGGATATTATTTTCGATTTCTAAAAGACATTTGATTTTTTTCTTGTAGTACCACAGGAAGTGGAAACATAAATCCATTTTCTCACTCTAGATCGAAATAGAAATATTGTTACGTGCATAGTCCGAAGTAAATCAGGGAATCTTTGCGCGGAATGTTGACTTTTCTTACAAAAAGGAGTGAGCCGATTACAATTTGTAACTTTTTCTGAAAATCTTGAGCTTTTGTGATATAACGAGATAACAATCTTGGTTTTAGAAAAGATGTTTAGATGTGATATGTGTGGATCGTGCCCGTGGGCCAGACAAACTGACGGATGAACATGACTCGAACATATCCAAAGAGACATGTGGTCTAAAGTTATTATTATTTGGAGTCATAGGAAGTTTTTAAGTATTTGGCGGTTAGTCAGCAGATACATACCACCACTTTAATAAACACTTCTATAACCATATTTAGGAATTAAGGGCTCAGTTTTGCTGGCATTAACTATACCTGGTTAAATGTTCATATCTTTGAACGAATCGAAGTTATATCTAAAACACCACGTGTTAGAAAACAAAAAATTTCAGGATACATACACGACTTGGAACAGAGTTATTAAATTTAACGATTTAGGATTCAAATATATAATCCATTTTCCCGCCGGTGCCAAAAATAGCAAACCTCAAAAAGGCAAATTTCAAGTTCCTCATGAACCATAAATATAGAACCGTGTTAAATATATTCGCTAATATTCATTGGAAAGAAAGCTATTTAAATATTTAGAGTGAAAGAGGAAGGTCATCAAAATATTAAATACCTTCATAACATTAACTCTTTTGAAAAGAAATATAATAGATAAAACATATTTTATAGTAATTTTATTAATAGAAAATATTCTAGGCAGGGATGTCAATGTGTCTAAATATTTGGTTTTCAACTGAGCTCTAAAAGTACCAGACTGTTTTTAGAGGTTACATTGCAGCAGCTTTATATCGTTTCAAAAGCTATACCATCAAATAAACTTTTATATTTTTTTTTCATTTTAGACACCAACCAAAAGCTGTTGCTCTTCTCAATATGATTGGACGCAAGGCAAGCTCCATGTATGAAACAACGAAATATACACCACTGCTCAATCGAATAGATTCATAGATTTTATAATTATTTATTGCTTTTACCCCTTAGAGAAGAAGAAATGAGGGCATTTATCGATTACAATGATATAAGTTTATCTTCAAGGTGCTGGGTAGGATTGTTTTAAATATTCTCACGAAAGTCCTAAATTAATTGCCCCGGCATTTTGTACGAAAATAGTATTTTTCATATAATTTAAGGCAATATATAAAGCAATATGAACTTGAATAAGTTTTAAACCCATCTCGGACGTTGTCCAAATTTGCAAAACATAAAAGGATAAACATGAACACATCAGTCTATTGAGTTCAACAAAGTTTATGTAAAATACACAAATTATTGGAAATTTCTGTTTCTGTTTAACATTTCAGAATGCCCTTCATCCGTCGTTTTTTTTTTTTTTTTTTTTTTTGTTTTTTTGCAAACTCCCTTGATGAAATATTCAACCCATAATCGGTGAAATAATGATGTCAGTTACGTCATTGTGAAACTGCGATAGGAATATTAAATCAGTGCGTGAAATAAGTGCTTTCGAGTTGTACATCAACATTTGGCTCATTTAATATTCTCTACGCGCTTGTGAACTGTCTTCATAACAAGTCATTTTCTTATTTAGCTTTTTTCGTGCAGAAAGATTTTATACAAAACCAAATAAACTCGCCGTTGTGGGAACTGTATCGCCACCTCTATCTGTAGCTATATGAATGAATGTGCAAATTACCATCGAAAAGGAAAATTCAAATTCCCGAAAGCCGTTATATCCGTTATTAACACTCTAGATGAACGAATTGGAGCACAATAGTATTCCTCTAGTCAACTCTCTGTGCATTCACACGCCTGCGCACGACCAGGGCTCAAAGAAAGACAACGCCAAAGAAAAGTTTTAAAAGCTCTGGCTGCTGGTGTACAACAGTCGGTAGACGCACTCATTTGAAGCCACGTATAAAACTGCAAAGCTGCCTCAAAAGTAAGACATTTTATCAAAGTGTTTTGTTGGTAACGGTTATAGAGTCCAAAAATAAAATTGAATTGAACAAATTTAGAGCGCTGCCAAGCTGCACATACAAAAAAAAAAACAACAACATGAAATTACAAAATCCCCTGGTAAGTAAGAATTAATTAGCCATTAGCTATAAGTCAGCTGCCAGCAGCCACCACAGCCCAAGCACTCCAAAAACTGGACTACAAAATCGGATTTTGGATATTTTGCTCAAATATTGCGCTACTCGACATGCCCGTTCTAAGTCATGTTTATGGAATGTTGAACCGGATCAAACGTTTTTTTTTTTTTTTTTGGCAACAGCAATCATTAATCGTACGGACCCAAATAATCAATGGCGTGGAGTGCCAACAAAAGTTACCTACCCATTTAACCATTAAGTGCGAAACATGGAATTCAAAATACAAGAATAGCCAATCTTTGGGCTAATTAAAGACATTCTCTCTGTCTAATTGTGTGCGTGTGTGTGTTTCTGTGTTTGGCGGTAATTAGTGTTCCCATTAAAATCTTATCTGAATGCAGTCAATTCAAATCGGATTTATTGTCTCTTACTGTAATTGTTATTATCCAAGCCAAGGTCTAATAACTATTCAACAACAACAACAATTGAAATTTTCGGAATTATTTTATTGTATGCAACAACAGCAAAAATGTAAGAAATAACATTGTTCGGTATGCATACAGAAATAAGTACGCCGTCGTAATAATAAATCCAATAACTGGGTATTGATCACACTTTGCAACCAACCGCTTGTCCGTCACAATGGCCACAGTCAAAGCGGACCCAAAACGAGATCGAGTCAATCAAATGTAAGCAAGCCATCATGTTGGGCCCAAGAGCAACAACAGCACTCAGTCCCATGGAGTGGGGCGGCTACCAATAGACTTGGCCAATTTGTTTTGGTCCATAGCCCGGGCAAGTGTGCGTACCAAGTATGAATGAACGAATGACAGTGCGGACTGAAATATGAAACTGATTTCAATGAATTGACCTTTAAGAGGGGGATTAATTAGTGGAGTGTATTTGTGCCTCACAATTGCTACAATTGCTGGTGGCATTCACTCGACTGGCTGTGTTCCGGCCACGGTTGTTACGCTGGTTACATTGGCCATTTGAAGGTAGCTCATTGTAAAAAGTATTGTTGGAATTTTTTGGCTTTGCTTTAAGAAGCAATTTGTGTAACAGTTAAATGCCGGCTCGCACAGCTACCGCCCGCCACCTGAAGCTCTTTTATTTTGTTTTTTTTTTTTACTTCTCGGGCTAGTTAATTGTTAGTTATTTTGCATTTCGAAGCATAAAGTTAGCAGTCACAAGAATGTCGGTGACTGTTCTCCCATTTCTACTGTGTATCGGAGAATATGAGAGCTGCTCCGCCGCTTGGAGTTCAGTAACTGTTACAGTTTTGCAGAACTGCATTTGTGTTGATATTTACGTTTATAGCTTTACATACGTACGTATATCCATCATTTTGTGAGATTTTATGAACACACCCAAGGACGTCCACACTTTCAAATGTATCTAGATTAATGTATCTGTATTTTACAGAGCTAAAAATGCATATGAGCGTTGCAAGGCAAATGGATCACATTAAACTTTAGAAAAATAAACTATAACAATTACAAGGTAATTCTGTAGAGTGTTTACGCAAATGCGATGCCAGTTTGAAAGCGAGTTCCAAATTGCTGATTAACATCAAGCGGCTTAAAACGATCGTAAACAAATTCAATAATATTACGGCATTATGCCAAGATGTGTGCATAGAATCGCCGAAATTGCTTCAATTTTTCTTAATAAATGTTTAAGAAATATGAATAGTGCTCTCCTGTTGGAGTATTTGTATGTATGTGTACTTCTGTATGAGTCAGAGAAGATCTAGGTAGTTGCGATGCTCCATATCAGTGATTGTTCAGCCATTAATATTACTATTCTGGATTTCTGGCAAAGAGGTTTCCTGGGGGTTGGGTGCACCAGTTGTCTCATACCAAATATAATTCCAAATGTATTCATGTCACCACTTAAGTACATTTCAAATTGAAAATCGAATAAACGATTTATATGGGAATTAAATCTCGATCTGAACATGTATTAACCAAAGTGTCCTGAAGTATTTTACGTATTAGCTTTCTCGTACCAAAAATCTCTGTTTTGGGAAGCATACATGTATATTCAGATAAAACATATATCTGGAAACTATAGATATATCTAAACAGATTAGATCCATGTTGGATCGTTCTATTCGAAATATACTTTGAAGTTCCAAAAATCATCTTTTTCATCTGTTAGGCAGAAGGAGAGTGGAACCGATTTTATGTAAATGCCTCGACTACAAATAAGGTCTCGAATCTAAACGGGGCCAGGCCAGGAAAAGGTCAAATTGACAGAAACATATTAACGGGAGCTACAGTTGCATCTTGAGACCATGTTTGCTAAAATCTGCCCTACTTGGGAGAGTTCTATGTGTAAGAGCTCTATTCAAAAAATTTTTCTATTTTAGCAATTATTATTTGTGTTTTACACCGTGAACTCATATTTTACGAGAGTTATTATTATTATTTGAAATTTAGACCATTGCGAAGGTATCGGATACTTTCTTCTCTTAATATGCGATTTAATTTTTTTTTTTTTTTTTTTTTTTTGTAAAACATTGCCTTTTGTTGGGAAGTTATCAGAAGAAATGGTACATATAGACAGACAACACACTGAGGGCACTTTCAAACGGCAAGGAACAGTAAAAGTATTAGCAAATACAAACGATTTAAGTATTTTACAATTACTAATGTAGACTTTTTACCACTGGGACCGAGTCAATAAAATGTATGCACATGTACACGATACTATTCTGTGAAATTATTTTCTAATGTGTCTTTCCTTAAAGACTTCCGCATGCTCTTGCTTTTAAAGTGTTAGCCCATTAGTCATCCAGCTAAGGAATTAAAAACTTCTTAAGTTAGTCAAACATACATAGATAAAAAAAATAAATAAACACAATCATGTTATGGTAATGCATGTGATCGTAGTGTGTCCCATTAAAAATTCTTTTGAAATAAATGCACTTTCGATTGCCGAGGAAAAGACAATAGCGGGACATGCCAAGAAAATCTGACTGCACAAACCAGTTTCTAAACAATTCATTTATGGTATCTGAAATTCAATTGAAGCTGAAACAAATTAAATCGCAACGTTTGTTCACTGTGTCTGCCGACATCGACAATGAAGTGGTATAATATTGGGCATAGCCAGCCAACCACCTAGCTAGCTAGCTTACTGACCCGTTGGTTATGATGTTAAATATGTTCGGAATGCACGTTTTTGTGGCTTTGCTAGTTGAATTCATATAATTTACCTAAATAAATAAAAATATTATATTTGCCGGAACGATTATGGTAATGGCGTTATGCTTTAAAATATTGCTTAGTTTTTTAATGCTTTATACAACTTATTTATTTCACTTTTATTGGGTTCAATTTTCTAAGGACCATATACATTGTATCGCAAATATTAAAACTTTCGAATTGTTTGCTCATAGTTCGTTGCAATTAGGCAACCTCTAGTGTAGCGTGTTTATTAACCGACCACACCAATCCAAACCATTTTACATATATTTTAACTACATCTCGAGCATCTTTCCAAACCCACATACAAAAACATGTCAATATTATTGAAGAAGTTCTTCACAAAGCAATCAGGGTGTGGGAGAGCTTATTCCGCCAATGAATGCGATATTCAAAACATATCATTGCGTTTTGGCAACAAATTGTAGGCTTGAGCTTAAAAAAAATAAAACAAACAAAAAACAACATTGGTAGAAGAAATCAAGTTCCTTGTTTGTGGTTACCCAATCTACTGGCAATTTTTCCACCTGAACGATTCCAAGTATCGAAAATGCAACTACACCAAATATCTGCGCAAAAATGAAATGCAATGCAATTTATTGAGGGTAACAGCCGCACTCACGGACCAGCGAGCGAAGGGAGGGAACATATATTTTTATGTCGATCAAACTAGTTTTATAATATCTGCTGCTCTAATGCCTTACATTCTGTCTGCATGTCAGTTGGGTTGCTTGCTAGCCAGTCAGGTATTCAATGACGTAATCGTCCAAGCAGTGAATTGATTTAATAACCGAGCCCAAAAGAAAGTTACATTTGGCGAATTCAAATCGAATTGCCTTATGTCTAATGGGGGGAATAAACTGCCACAGAGATGAAAACCCGCAAGTGAGTTGGAGAGCGTGATAATGACATTGGAGGAAAGTCGTTGCAATTTAAATTACATTTCCACATATTTCCTCCAGAAAAACAAAACACAAGAAAAACCAGTCGATTTCCACTTGTCGTCAATGGTAGCCGGTAGTAATGCTGAAAGAAATGCATCAATGGTCAGCTTCCATTATGGGCAGTTCGATGTAGACAAACATTAACTACACATTCAAACTGCATTACGCCATAACATGTCATGAACAGTGAAATAAATCAACCGCCTCAGGGAACTGGTGCACAAACGGATCAGTGATTACAAAAAGTTCAACTTAAAAAATAAGTTTTTCGTTTGCAACTTTAATCTTTGGAAGTATCTGTATTCTACATTCAGTTTCAACAGCAATCCTAGTTGGTTATTACAATTAAGGAAACCAATTGCAGCTTATTTCAATCCCCGTAAAACAGGTTTCTTGAAATTCTGAAGTCATCAGTCACGTACTCGTATTGTCAGACCAAAAAAAAGCCCAGATGCGAACAAATCTATGCCAGTACATTTCCCACTAGATAAATATTTTCAAATCAACCAAACCGAACACCAGCCAATTTAAAGCCAAGACACGCCGTTGTATTTGGTTTCTGCGCGTATGGGTGCTAAGACATTAATTTATGTGAGTGAGTTTTTGTAAAAATAAATCTGTATAAATGTTTTTACAAATAAAAACAATTAGAGGATTTTTTATCCTACACTACACTGTGGTAAAGGGTATTATGTCCTTGAGCCTTGGCTCTTAATAGACAAAAGAAGACATTATAGACCCCTAGTTCATTTAGATAAACTACATGGGGTAACTTTTTAAGTCGATTCGTCCATATGGTACAGATTACAGTCCACTGACGAACACTATCGAACTTGGCTGCCATCGGGTCAGATTTGGAAATAGCTTCCATGCATAATTCACGTTTATTGTGAAATAAATGTGAACCTTTAGCCCAAATAGAATAGGTTTTGGCATATACGACCGAATTCGACATAGATACAGCTCAGTTCGTCAAAGCCACAAAATAACGGTATTTGGTAAAATAAATAAATTTCGAAAAATTTGTATCTGAATACACACTAGAAGTATCTCTTACAAAATTTATCGAAATCGGTTCAGATATACATGTAGCTTTCATATATAATTCCCTTAAATTTGATGTAAATAATTCACAATACCATCAATTGGGGTGAATTTTTAACCTCGCGATCAGATTTTAGTTTACCAAGTCAGAATTTAGTCTACCAAGTCTACCACATCTTGACCAAACCGGTTCAAATAAAACTTTGGTTCCCATATATGTGTATCATCCGATTTTATATTTAGGCCTACTCAAAGTTACGATATTCACTCTATACCAATATTTTGATTGTGTAAGAGTTCCATGTGCCATTTTTACTTTCTGAGGTATGTCTGACATGTCCGAATTTTCCGATATCTGCTTTAATTTTCGAGATGTACGTATTAGAAAACTAAATTTGCAATGCAATGAAATAGATTGTTTAATATTCTATTTAAAAAATTTGATATTTATAGACATCGAAGGTTTCCATTCTTCAGTAAGCCATACTCAATGACATATGTTTCATGTTCTTAAGTTTATCAAAGTTTTCCATTTCTTTTCAATTTTTCAAATTTTAGTCGCTAATTGTGGTCGCAGTTCTAATCACTAGCTGCGTAGTTGAGGCACAGCTGCCGCCACGTCTATTAATACCAGGAGCAATACCTTTGCCTGCCCCACGATCAGCACCTCAAGCACGTCGTACACGTCCACCAACTTTGAGAGCACAAAATAATTTGATTCCAGCAAATATCCCATCACGTATTGAGGAAGCCAAACCGGTCACCGAATCAGGAGAGGATGAAACACCTGACGTATTTTTGCCGAACCTATTAAGAGAACAACAGCTAGCCCAGGCACAACAATCACAATTCCAACAAGCAGCCGCCGCCTTCCTCAATAATGATCCAAGTGTAAATGCTCTTCAAGAACCATCAGTCGACTTTGAGTCATACACCACGCGATTCCCTGATCGCACCTTACCTCCACCAACAGTCCAACCCAGCCACAAGCCTAATTACAATGACTTTGGCATAGGTTCAAATGTCATTAGTACGCCTAGATTTAGCCAGGAAAGACAGGCACCCCCACCACAAGTTCAAGCTCCCGTACCACAACGTGAACGTTCCAATGTAATCAGAAATCGACCAACTGCAGTACGTGAATCTAGGCCTCAGTACGAACCCCAACCAGTCCAAGTAGCCCAACGGCCAAGACCCAAACCCATTCAATCACGCCCATTGTATGATCAAAATCAAATAGAAGATAATCAGCAAAACAGACGCCAAAGGCCCGTCGCACAAACCACAAGGAAATGGCGCGAAGAAAATGAGGACGGCACCATTGTGTGGGGTTATGAAAACGATGATGGCTCGTTCAAGGAAGAAATTATTGGCGTTGATTGCATAACAAAGTAAGTACTTTCACACCACCTCATCTTCCACACATTAACCCAACGAATCTGAATTATTATTATTTTAGGGGAACTTATGGCTACATCGATCCTGATGGTAACAAACGCGAATACCACTATGAAACTGGTATCAAATGTGACCCCAACAAACGTGACCAGACTGATGAATACCAGGAGAACAACTTTATCAACTACGACGACAACAAAGCCGTACTTCCAAACGGCATTGAAATCGATATGACCCAGCTGGGCAAGAAGAAGTCCAAGAGACCCGGTGTAAATTACCGAAACTGATGTGTCCATCGTCTCATGCTAGTTCATAAGTTCTGCACTGTATCCATATCTTGTAATGTTTAGGTTTTATTATTTTATAGAACATACAAAGTCTTACCATTACCATACAAATTGTTCGCATTCAGATGTTGAAATCGTACCTTCAACAATAAATTAAATGATATGATAATTATTGTATTCCTTACGACTAGTTTATTGATGGATTGATTAGTTACTGATTGACAGGCAGGCAGACACACAGCTGTATTGAGTTGTTGTTTTACATAATCTGCAAGAATGAAATGAAGGGAAATTCAATTTTGGCGTAGCACTAGTACGGTCTTTGGCGTCTAATGGGTGGTAGTCGATTTGGTGGCGTGATGGAAATATCCAGAAAGTCGCCGATGCAAAATTTCGCCTGAGCTAATGTCTTGTTGTCGTCGGCACCCTTTTGTCCAGTACATGTTACGCCGATTTCTCGCATTTGAAAGTGGTTATTACGAAAATTAGGATACACAACAGCAAAATCAAAGTAAGTTCCTTTCTTGCGAGTGTCGGGGTTGACGTCGCGCACCAATGAGGTCAGTTCATGCAGTGAAGCATCCATCCATGTATAGATCTGTAGTTCATTGGTAGGAACATTTCCATACATATATTCGGACACCGAATGATGTCGCCCCGTCGAGCAAAACACTCGCAAAAGCAATGGACATGTCTGCAAAGAATCGCATGATAAAACCTTTAGTATTCTCTAATGTTCTGAATGACAATGTTTACCTTTTCACGGTCAATTTGTTTAATTTGGGGCTTCTCTTCCACAATCATAGATTCTACATTAGCCATGTTTTATAGTTGTCCAAAATATAGCTATTGAATTAAATTGTCCTTTATCCTTTGGGGAGCGTGCAGCAGCAAGACAAGCGTCTTTCCTAAATGAACTATGAATTATTGTACGAAAAGAACTATCGGTTGTCAGTCCCGCCCTATCGTTCATATTGTTTCCTTATGCCATGTTCTCACTGAAATAAGAACGATAAATGTCATATTAAGGTGAGAACATGGTAGAAGAATATAGGTAGACGCGTCGACACAGCTGCTGGGACAATGAACTGTCAAACCAATTTTGAAATTGAAAATGTTGAAGGAAAAATTATTTATATTTGTAAAAATTGTTAAAAAAAACGAGAATTATAATAGCCTCCGAATGACGTAGTATAAGAAAACATATAAAAATCTACTTATATTTGAAAAATAGGTTATGGTAGTAAAAACTTTTATGTTTTTGTAGTTCTGGAACAGAGCTATAGAACTAGTTTTTTTATTAGCTTAAGGCATTGACTGGCTTCTTCATAACTATGTGTATGTTCCAGAACTTTCAAAAGTCTACTACTTTTGCAATTTTTTTCGATATCAAAAGGGAAAATCGGTTATCGCAGTAAAACCTTTTAGATTCTTACATTTCTGATGCTATGTTCCCATTACACCTTCAATCACGTTGTTCGCTCTCAGAATTATGTACACGAATTAACCCGTTCATACGGCACGATTCTTAATTCGAAGTAAAATAATTCCCTTTTTCAAAAATTTTGTTTGTTGATTTTAATACGACTTTATACGAATATACGTGAAATTCTCACTAATATGAATAGAAGATATTATTGTTCTTCTCCCAAATTTAACAAATTTCATTCATGATTCAACTTTTTGTGTAAATGTTGACATTTCGAACATATTTTTGTAATTTTCTATATTTAAATTCTGCTGGAGAGACACTTGTCAAACATTTTTTCTGCCGATAAAAGCATTTTGAAAATATTGCCTCTTTTGTTTGCAGTTTTCTGTGGAAATTTCAACTCGTGGACAAAATGCGTACCTCGAATGAGAGAGAAAATTGTCTAAATATGGGTTGAGACATATTTTTTCATTGTTGTGAGAGTGATTTGATTTGAACAATGTACAAATACGAGTGTTCGCTCAGGAAATTTTGTGTGAAGAATTAGGTAGTTTTTTCATAGTTAAGGGTCAAACAACGAATAGAGAGCGAATCAAGTGCAGTGGAAACGCCACATGAAACAGACGTTATGACTTCAACCAGAAAAAAAGCATTCTGTATACTTGCACCTTAGAAAAGGGCTGTAAAGAACAAACCAATTGTTTTTTGCAAGAAAACGCTTAAAAATAATCATATTCCTTGCCCTATGATTTAAAACAAATGTTGCAAATTGTAACTTCAATTCGTCTGTTAACAAAAGAGTAGAGCAAAAAAAGAGCGATTAGTAAATCAGTAATTGCAAACCTTTTTATATTGGAATCCATCGCATAACCTAATGTTAGTAATTATTTTGTTGTTTTTTCAAATTTTAAATGTTTCCTTGCAAATGAGAGTTAAACAACGTTAAATTCTCGGAAAGAAGTTGTTGGACAACTACCACTATGGAAAACCGTTTTGTACGTCCACACTACCCACATACGCCAGGCCCGTACTCTCCCATACGCCAGTATCCTAATATAATCAACTAATAAGGTTGTACAAATTTGACTTTTTCAAATCCATGTCTTATTCATTTCTATTTTCAACACACAAAATAAGAAATTTAAATGTCTGTGTTTAAAATGAAATTGTTAAACTTTGAAATTTCGTACGCTCGACGTATTTGGGTAAAATTCATATAAATATGTGAGTTTCACTTATTTGGTGAAAAACGTCGACCGAGTACGTCGAATTTTAGGTAAAGCTCTTAAGGTGGGAAAACATAAAACGCATTTTTGACTGGTACTACCCCTATGGTTGTTCCATTAACTGTACAACCCTGAAATATATTATCATTAGATGGTCAACTAAAACCCAACTACTACAAAATTAAACAACTGTGTGTTTTTAATGGACGAATAGGAGAGCAAAATTAAGAAAAATATTTCAAGTTGTAAAATATAATTAATTTAATTGTAAAGAATCATACAAATTTGCCAGAAGAATACCTGCTGCGAAGTGTAATTGATTGAATAATATAAAATAATTACAGTGAAATTTGAGAGACTTGTGTAGAAGAAAAGACAAATTACGAATGTTGAAAGAAAAACAAAGATACTACGATTAAGAAAGAGAGAAAATATAGAATTAGTTGTTGAAAGGAGATTGAGAAGATTATTGCCCGCCACTGAACATACCCATCACAGTTTTTTTGCATTGGCCTGTGTTTATTTTTCAATAAAAAAGGAAAAATATTGTATATCGTATTCGTACGGCTGTAAGTAAGAAAATATTATTGCGAGTTTGGTTTTTTTACTGTCAGATTAGCTATGTGCAGCACCCGTCTTATATAAGATGGTGAAAATGTGACTTCGTCCTGTGTGTATTTGATGTCCTTCCAAATTGAAAACAGAAACATTTTCCATACATACAGACGTGGAATCAGTATTGATTGGCGTCGATCGATCGACCTGTATGAGACATTGTTAACGCCAGTAACAGGGAGGGTGATATGTGGGTGTATGACGGCTGAATCGCGATGTGACGTCTTTCGTTTGTTTTACAATAATTTTAAAAGATTTTTTCAACAAGTCTGTTCGGTGTATTGGTGATGGTGCTCTACAACCTATTTCGTGTATTGACGTGCATATGTACGTACAAACGTGGCATAAGTTGAGTTTAGGGGCTATGCTTGGATTGACCTGAAATTTTTACCGCAGGTAGGTATTTGTAACCTGATTACGGCAATATAATTTTTTTGTGGGGGAAATACCCGGTTACCCGGTTATTCGACCCAAAAGTTCGAATACATACTACGTAACCGATATCAATAATATGGGTATCATTTGAAAGCTTATGAAAATATCTATCCAACAAGTGGTCATATGACGGGGTAACTGGAACCTGTTTCGGAGAAATTTAGGAAAATGTGCATTTTTGTATGAGTAATTTTTGAAAAACCCATAAAAACTCGAAAATGGACCCATTATAGGGTCTTAAAATCTATACACAATATTATAGCTAACACTATTGCCTTTCCAAAATGGTGTCATATGTGTTGATATCTTTGTAGTTCCGAAGATATTGACTTTTAAAGTCGTTACTTATGAAAGCAGTTTGAGTGAACCCAAGTTTTGTGTCGGGTTTAACGTTCTTGTTAATCTGCTTTGTTTTTAATTTGGTGTTGTTAGAATATTATGGAACGCGTAGTCGGTGTTGGACATATCCCAGAGGAGAAAATCTTAAGCCCCGGCCGAAGGCCGGCTGCTTACAAAAATTACAATTTTTAGAAAAACTATGGATCGCGTAGCCGGTGTTGGACATACCCCAGAGGAGAAAATCTTAAGCCCCGGCCGAAGGCCGGCTACTTTCGAAAACTACAGTTTTTAGGAAACTATTGATCGCGTAGCCGGTGTTGGACATACCCCAGAGTAGAAAATCTTAAGCCCCGGCCGAAGGCCGGCTACTTACAAAAATTACAATTTTTAGAAAAACTATGGATCGCGTAGTTGGTGTTGGACATACCCTAGAGGAGAAAATCTTAAGCCCCGGCCGAAGGCCGGCTACTTACAAAAATTACAATTTTTAGAAAAACTATGGATCGCGTAGCCGGTGTTGGAAATACCCTAGAGGAGAAAATCTTAAGCCCCGGCCGAAGGCCGGCTACTTACAAAATGTACAATTTTTAGAAAAACTATGGATCGCGTAGCCGGTGTTGGACATACCCCACAGGAGAAAATCTTAAGCCCCGGCCGAAGGCCGGTTGCTTAAAAAAGCTATAAAGGTCAAAGTCAAATGCATCTAGACTGGAGAAAAATATAATTTAATGAATTCAATCTCTTATATCCACGGAACCACAAAAGATATCGACACATATGACACCATTTTGGAAAGGCAATAGTGTTAGCTGTAATATAGTGTATAGATTTTAAGACCCTATAATGGGTCCATTTTCGAGTTTTTATAGGTTTTTCAAAAAGTACTCATACAAAAATGCAAATTTTCCTAAATTTCTCCGAAACCGGTTCCAGCAACCCCGTCATATGACCACTTGTTGGATAGGTATTATCATAAGCTTTCAAATGATACCCATTTTATTGATATCGGTTACGTAGAACCGGATGTTGTATTCGAACTTTTGGGTCGAATAACCGGGTAACCGGGTATTTCCCCCACAAAAAAATTACATTGCCGTAATCAGGTTACAAATACCTACCTGCGGTAAAAATTTCAGGTCAATCCAAGCATAGCCCCTAAACTCAACTTGCTCCCAAACGTTCATAAATCATGAGTGGGGAATTCTCAAATGATTTGTTCGTCATTTGTGATTTTGGGGGAATGTGTACATATACATACCTTAGCATTGGAAATAGAATGCACGGTTTAAGGTATCAGATCTATGACACAATTATGCGGTCCCGGCATGACATGCTGCACATAGCCACTCTGTCTTTGCTTCAGTAGGAAATTCATATACATTCCAAATTAATGCATGTACCCATATTAAAGTGTGACTCTTTTTAGGAAAAATGACATCAACACCACCAAAAAACAACTGCAAATTAAAATCAAGCCACAACAGCAGCGGTTCTCCAAGCATTGAAAAGCTATCTCCAGATCAGGATGTCTTCATAAACCCAACTGATGGCCTACCCAGCCAACATCCCACTTTGCCCGATGGTGAAGTTGACAGTAATAGCGAGCCAGAAGTGGATCCAGACTCGTTCGATGATTTACCGACTTCTATTATTGTGACGAACATACATTCAGAAGTATTTTCCAATCCTCAATTGAAGCAGGAAATGGAAGACCTGTTCCGTTCGTTTTGCGACTCGGCAACGTTTCAGTGGTTGCGAAGTTTTAGACGTTTACGTGTTAACTATGATAATGCAGTGGCGGCTGCCAATGCACGCATTAAACTGCATCAGTATGAGTTCAACAAGAAGACAGTTATTACATGCTATTTTGCCCAACCGGTAACACCCGTGTCAAACAAAAATCTACAGCCTCCAGCTCCAGTGAAACAGTTCCTAATATCGCCTCCAGCCTCCCCACCAGCTGGCTGGGAACCGAGGGAAGAAAACGAGCCACTAGTGAACCATGATCTTCTGGCAGCTTTGGCCAGTCTCACGCCTGGGGAATCTCATGAGCTTCATCCACAAAGTGAAGACCAGCCAGCAATAGTGGTTCACACAGCAATGTTGCCAGAAGCTGCTGTTGAAAGTGCAGTTCGTCCAAAGTTACCCATTGTTCAAACCAAATGTCCGGAAAGGGCGTAAATAGAAATATCTAAATGTACGATTGTATTGTATTTTGATCGACAAAGTGTGGGAGAGAGAGTGAGAGACAAGGATTTTCGGTTGGTTCGTATATAGAAAACATTCTTAGGGCATTATGTTGACTATGCTATGAGCTATTTCTGGATATGGAGGTAATTCCCACATGTTCCAAGAGAAAAACTGTTCCACTTACTTGGCTATTAGCAGATGTTACCTTCTAGTTGAACAGTTCATTCTTCTCGGATCTTGCATTGGAATTGAACGGTATGAGAGTATGTAAGGCTGTTGTTTGTTTTAAAACTAAAGCTGTACACAAATTATTTGAGAATTATTAAAAAAAAAAAACAAACACACACAAATATCAATAACCTTGAGCATTTCCAAAAAAAAAATCATTACGAATCGAATTAGTTTGAGAAGCCTTTGTTTAATTTGGTTAAATAATTTATTTCGACAAATTATTGATTACTTATTGTGATCCTTTTGTTTCGATGTAGATACTGAAATTATAAAATAAAAGCAACAAGAGCTCATAATGGTTCGTGTATAGTTTAAGTTATTTAGTTAGTAATTTATTATTGTACAAATTCACACACACATATACACACTCATATACACTAAACGAAAATGTGGCACAGAAATAAAATAATACGCTGTGCTTTCCAAAGGAATCAGAAGGAAAAATTAGAGAATTATTATAAATTATAAAAAAAAAATTGAAATCCAAAGAGTTATTATCTTCGACTTCCTTTGGAATTTAGCCAATAATTTGCAATTGATTCTAATTTTGCATTGATTGTTATAAGATTTTAAATTATTCAAAATAAAATAGAACTGTATGTATTATCATTAACATATGAACGAATTAATAAAGGCTCTGATTCAAAATATAAAAGGAAATGAATTGATGTCAATGAGAACCGTTTAAATGCAAGTCTGTAGCATACATGCAGTTGGGTGAGTAACGATAATAAAATATCCGGTATCTAACTTTTACTACATTGCTTATTTTTTCTTTTACTTAACAAATGTATTATTTAGTTTACCTTATTCATTTATTGTGTTTTCATCAGCGTCATAATTTCAATTTATGATAGAAACATTAATTTTATTCTGAAACTTTAAATCGCCGGTAAATTACATGTGACCTAAAATCGCGCGATTTTGATTACATAATTACGTTTTAAACAAGTAATAATATTGATAAAATATTGATTTTATGAATAATTGATGTAGCTACAACGACTCTACAAATTGTAATAGTAAAATATTTTAGTTCAGAATGATTTCTACTTAATACTACACGGACATTATTATTTAAATGGTTAAAACGTTTTCTAATATTGTGCTTGCCATAGGTTATTAACATATATAAATATTGTATTATTTCAAGCCATAATATAAACTCTTTGATTTTAAAACACATATCAGCAAGCAACTGGCATATTTCTGGTGAAGCCCGTGTTTTGGAATTACTTACTTATTCGCCGGTCTGAGGCTCTTTAAGAGAATATGTTTCTATGGAACAACCTAAGATCAGTTATTTTTTATATATTAGCTTTTATTAAAATAATCAACGAGGTTTTTATGATATGAGTGCATTTAACGTGTCAGGAGTAGATCGAGTAGACAATGGCCCATCTTCGCTTTAAATCTAAATGCAAGCTTTGGACCAGATTTTCCCTTCCGAAGTTATCATGCACACCAGCCAGGTAGGCAGACATTTTGGCCTGAGTGAGAAGCAACACTTAAATATAAAGTTTGTACCCCATCAGACGGGGAGCAAGGGAATAATTTCAACATTTAGAGACACTCTCACATTATGTACCGGAAATATTTTGATAACATATTGAAATATTTAGCAGATTCTATTAACCGCATCAAGTGAGTGCGAATAATATCTCCACAATACACTTGAAAATTAGAAGTTAATTAAATTTTTTGTATATTTTTCAACTTAAATTCATATAGTTTATTTCATCCAAATATCAATTTATTATTATCTAATTAGAGTAGACCGTAAATATTAGTTCGAACTTTGTATAAAATATTTGACCAATAAAAAACAAGTCTGTAACAATACAATTTACAATGAATGCTTACATATTTATGTAACAAAGAACTAAAAAAAAACAAGAACAGGAATGTATTGGAATGTCCAAAACTAAAAAAAAAACGCTCGGTCTAGGGCAGCCATTTGAGTTTCTGAGTGATATGCGTGTTTGATAGATACCTTTTTACTTCTTCTCAATGGTCTTAAGGGGCACCATTTGTTCCGGATCATCTTGGTAAATTCTATCCCTGTTGGGCTTTCTGCCAGCACACTGACTAAACCAGGTGTCGCCTCGTCCAAAGTTTTCACCATCTTCTATGGACTCGGGCATAGGTTTGTTCATGGTCTCCGGCAAGAACATTACCCACACCCCAGAAATAAGTGCTATCACGCCGAATAGAACAGCAGGTATCTTTGGATCAAAGGAATCGAGCAGTGTTATAAGCGGAGTAAGAGCGCCGGACAGACGAGCACACATGGAACCCAAGCCCATGGCAGAATTGCGCACAACCGTTGGGAAGAGTTCCGCCGAGTAATTGTAGATGACAGCAAAGGATCCAGCAATCAGGAGTTTTCCTACCATAACAATGGCTGTGGATGTGGTGCTACCTTGGGCAATGTAAGCTGCCACAATACAACATATACCTCCGCCAATCATCAAGGTGCTTGTAATCGGTCTCCTGCCCAATCGATCGAGTACCATAACAATGGTAAAGTAACTGGGGAATTCGACCAGGCCCATTATGAACAATATCAAAAATGGATTTCCATACAGTTTGCCAGCACTCAACGACAGACCGTAGTAGACGAGGGAGTTGGCGAACCAGCAGAGACAAACATTCAAAGTTTTGATGCGCAAGTTTGGTGTCTTGAAGAGATCACTTAGACCAGCACTGGACTTTTCCTCTGTTGCTTGTTGGGCCTTTGATTTTTGTACATAGTATTCTTTGTCGACGGGAATGCCAGATCCATTCATTCTTAGACCCTTGGCCACAATATCCACCGCTTCTCCGGCACGACCTTGCATCCACAGCCAACGGGGAGATTCGTCCAAAAGCCACCAATGGGCCAGGAAGAGCACACCATGAAGGCCATACACAACTTGTAGAAACTGTCTGTCCTTAATCAAGGCACCCCATCCAGCAACCAACATTATACCAGCTGCAAAGACGGCCTAGAACAGAAAAATATTTTTAATAGCATGTCCAATACATCAGTAGTTTTTTCATTCGAATACCTGGAAGGCTATGCCACAGGCAGTTCGTTTACTCGGTCCCACCAATTCCATTGTCAGCACAAAGCCGCAAATATAGGCTCCAGCCGAGCCGAAAATGCCCAAAAGAAAACGTGCCACCATAAATGAGAAATATTCGGGAATGAATGCAACCGAAACGCCGATGATCAGCTGCAACAGGGCTGACCAGCAGAACACCGTTTTGCGACCGACCTTGTCGGCCAAGCCGCCGAGCGTAACGGCCCCGGTGAAAACGCCCAACATGAAAACCGTCTGAACTATGCTACCCATCCAACGACGTTCACAGACGAAATTCCAATCGATTGCCCGCGACGTCTCGTAGTAGGTCTGATCGTAAACGTACGAATCGCACGATACAGTGTTGTTCTGGCTATCGTACATGTGACATGAATCCAATTCGCCGTTGTCCTTCAAAGGAATAGCTGCCAAAATGTCTGATGAATTCCATGGGACATAAGAAAAGCTGGAATTGTCTACACCTTCAATGAAGCATCGATGTTCGGGCACAGCTTGTACGGTAACAAGTGAGAGCATGTGAAGACCAGCCGTAAGAGCGGACAAGACTTGCAAGAAGAATTGGAATGCCTGATAGCGTCCGAATTCCCCTGTAAATAGAAACAAACAAAAAGCATTAACAAAGTGAATAAAGTTGGTGCGATTCAATGGACACTACTATATTCTGCGGTATTTCCGATACACATACAAATGAAGGTGTAAGGATTTTTATATAAGTGGTTTTATTCCCTGGTTCTAGTCCAGTGATGGTGTAGTGACGGAAAAGGGTCGGTGCTATTTCATTTGATATTCTCTTGGATCCGCTAAGAAGACAAGCCGATTCAATTCGAGAGAGAAAAAGTTTGTTTGCTTTTTAAAATATTATCAAATCTAAAAAATTCGCATTCTGTTAAAACTTTCAAACAAAATATTGAACAAATTGAAGCAAAATATTAAATACACAAACACACCTAATGTGATTTGCTACAAAATATCACATACAGCTCATTAGTACCACAAATATTATTCAGCTCAGGGGTCAAATTTTTCGATTCGATATCGGAAAAAAGTTCGATCGAAATCAATTTATATATGTCTATTTTAGATTGATGTAAATGAAAATATTTTCAGAAACAACTGGTAAACTCTCACATACGTTATTTAGTCGTTTCTACTGAAATTTTCAATAAAATCAAGAATCGGTATCGAATGGGAGAATGAGAGACCACAGATAAGAATAGAATTAAAAAAAATTGCAACGGGAAGCACTCTTCCTGCTTTTGTAATGTTTTCCCCGCAAAGAGGACTTGATATGCCTTGGATGGGGATATGAGAAAAGTTGTATTTATCAGAAATATGCGTTTTCCAGAACAAGGAGTTTGAAAACTGCTGTTACTATGCTGCAAATGCGCGATTTGCAGGTGCCCTTGGCGTCATTTGCGTCGCATTCGTTATTCAAATATGTCTGCAATATTTGAATATTTTTTTATTCTATTTGAATAGTTTCTTCTTCATTGTTATACAAGCCAAATAAAGCTTGCAGACACAAAAATCATAGGTATTTACATGTGTTCATTGATTTTCTACAAAATTTATTTTATTTCAAAGTGCGAACTGAATGCGGTAACCAACCATGGCGGTGAATCAAGTGTATCGCAGGGGCAGCTTTGTAATTGTAATTTAGATTTCCACATGTCGAACATTTTCGATTTAATTAATTCGGAACATTCGGCATTAGTTTCGCATTTAATTCGCATGATTTCCGATTCGCAAGTGTTGCAGAAGCATGCATTGTTGTAGACGGCTGTCGACACGAATCTCCTTGAGAACTGACCACGGTGACCTTGAATACGACGCTCATTTCGCATTTGAAATGTCAATTTACATTTGTTTTCCAGCGTTGGAATTGAAGTGGCGAATAACGCATTTGGAAGCAAGTGAAGAGCAGAATAACTTTTCAAACTTTCTCCTTATTGTCATTCAGAATGAAATATTTCACCAGAGCGCAATAAGCCAGAGGCTTGTCATAAAGATAAGTGGCATAAAATAGATAATACCTATGCATTATTGCAGGTAGTTAAAATCTTGTCCAGTTATGGCAACTGGAAACAATCTTTTGAACAGATTTGCAAACACTTGGTCTTATCTCTGAGGAGATTGTAATCTTTAGAATAATTTTAATTCTATTATAAGCGTTTTTATACCCTACAGCACTCTGTGTACAGTCTGTAACACCTCGAAAGTCGCAGTTATGATCCGATCCTCACGAAAATTTGCATGGAGTCAGCCTTGGGTTAAGAATAGTTTAGATGGATTACCAATGAATGCAACAATGTACAAATAAAGATTGGGGAAATGAACCTGTTGTCTTAAAAATACTGTAAAGTGGGAGGTACTGCGCCTGTACCACCACATGGACCAAAGTATCGAATTTCGGAAATGCAAAAGGGGATTGGTACCCATTTTGAAATTTGAATATGAAATTGCATATAATACGGTAGAAAAATATGATCCAAAACGAATATGTGGGCGCAATACGAAAACGAACTAAACATGAAACGCAACGGACTTGACGTACATACAGGGTGAGATAAAAAAAAAAACTGCAACAAAGTCAAATGCCATAACTTTTACATTTTTTTAAATTTTATTGAATGAAAGCAGAAACTGTCGGAAATAGCATCAAATTTTAGACTAAGTTTGATTTGTTCGAATTGGTCACCTTTGGCACGAATTATGGCCTTCAAGCGACCAATGATACCGTCACACGCTGCCCGAATGTTGCCCTGCGGTATCTTGGCCCATTCTCGCCGAATAGCTTGCTTGAGTTGATCGACACTTTGGTATTTTTCAGTGCCAACCTTGCTTTCCGAAATACTCCAGATACAATAGTCCAACGGATTGGTATCCGGAGTTTTTGGTGACCATTGTGCGCTGGAAATGAAGCGAGAAACCTCATTTTGTGTGCGATGGTGCAGAGTTGGAATGTCCAAGGTCTGCGGCCAAAATGTTTTCGTGCCCAAGGCTTTAATACACCCTCCAGAATATTTTCGCGATAATATTCGGCATTTATTCTTATGTCACGAGCGGAGAACGACCATCTGTTGTTATGGCGGCCCACACCATAACCATGGCCAGCGAGTTTTGGTGGCCAACCGAAAGTGCACATTTTCAGCTGACCTCTTAGGCAAGTAAACACGATCATTTTTTGTTTACAAACTGCTGGACAACGAATGTTTTTTCATCGGAGAAAACCCAATTCGGCAGTTTACCACTTTCGGCCAAGCGAAGCAACACATTAGCTCTTTTGAGTCTATTTTCTTTCTTTTGCGGTGTAAGTTCTTGCACTTTTTGGAATTTCCCCCAACATCTTGGGGGATCGGCTTTTGCTTGTCAAAAGGGTTTAGGTATAAAGAAATTTTTATGTTTATTTCTCTTTCCTGAACATGTAGTATTTTGGGGTATGACGCCCAACTTTGCTAAACTGTTGTTTTGTTTTTCTTTTATTTTTAATTAAATATCAACTTACTTTCAAAATAATATTCGCATGCCATTGGTTAGTCAATGTTGCTAATAAAATGTACAAATAATGGGAACGACGCACACATACATAGGCACACGTTAAATAGAACTAATTAAGCGAATTAATATTTTCAAGGATCTGTTATAGTCAGCAAATATACGTTCTGTATTCAAGGTAATTAACAAAGCATATTTAATTTTGAAAAAAAAAAAAAATCTAAAAGCAAATAGTTATTAAATTGGCAAATAAACATTCAATGGCAATTGGTGCCTGGTGGATGGGAATTAGTACTCGCCAGGAAAACCGGAAAACCCCTTCAATGTGGAGAGTGTTAAAATAATTCGCATTTCACACAAACAACGAAAACGTCAAATCATTGCCATTTCGCCAGATATGAGCTTCGTACAGCATAATCTCTTGTTGAAGCCAGAAAAATATGCGTCAAATCAACATTTCCATGACAACTTGAATGAACTCTTCAAGGTGAATTCCGAGCTATGATAAGCCCATATCAACAAACAGAGTGGAGAGGAATAGTAAACATTTGTTTATGGTGAAATCATATCAGTACATGGGTACAGGCATGAATGCTCATGTTTTTATGGGGGCAGGAATTTATAAATCAGTCATAAAACAGAAACAAATAACGATTCCTAAAGATCGCAACACAGTAGGGAACAGTTGTATTAATTCTATTGATTGTAGACACCATGTGTTAATGTCACGATAACATAGGACGTTTGAGGATCTTACGAAGATTAAGCTTTTTAGAGAAGGATCCCAGCTAAACCTTTAAATCGTCGCTCAGTGGTGGGTGCATATCTTTCCTCTATTTCAAACGTAGCTAAAAATCTACAAATACAAAAACAATTATTGAAACATAAACTGTGTTGCCGTATATTTTTTCAAATTTTTCTTAGCAACGTCATTGCGGTTTTGAACTAATGAATTGAAATGCAAGACCAACCGCAAAATAGATATTTGAAAGATTTGGTTGGATGCTCGGTTGAATGTAATTCGCCAATCAGACATTCATTCAATAATAAAAATTAAAAAAAAACGACGACAGTCTATTGATTGTCAACTTCATTTAAATGATCGCAAGGCCTTGGCATAACTTAACAACATCGGCGGGAGTTTCGTCAACAATTAAACATTTACAAATGTGTTTGTTTCTACATGTAAGTATGTACTGCTGCCGTTACTGTTTGACATTACACACATATTTACAGAGGGTCGAAAGTGTTTTTCAATCTGACGATATGTTTTGTGCGAATGTTATCACTGTAATTGCCTGCGTACGAGAATTGTTGATATTGGATAGGGGAAACGTTGGGCGCCAATATCAACAATTTGACCATCCATAAACACAAATTCATTTGTATGCGTGCGCATGCTCATGTATGCACATCGCAAGAACATTTAAATCAATTATTTATCTTGCCTACAATCATACAAATTGATTATAATTGAAAAGCTTTGCACTCAATTCAATTGATCAGCTGAAATAGGCCAAAAGTTGATTTCGTTTTGTAGCAATCGACAACAGCAAAAGAATACTTGAAAACGAGAGGTGATACTTGTCACATTTTTTCAACTTTTTCAAAGACAACATTTCAAGAGTAATTGCAACAAAGAACAATTGGCACGTGACATTCACTCCAAACAGAGTACGGAGCAGTGGTTCAAGTATGTCCAGTTCGGGATTGCATAACACTTATTCCTAGCACTCAGTTTGTATTACATATGTTTCCACATGTTTGTCGAAAATCTTCAATGCATTCCAAAAACTACACAAAAAATCACTCAGATCGCTTAAAATTGTTTAACGTTAAAAAAACGTTATATAGGAGAAATTGGTGGATTAAAGGTCTTTTAGTACCCACAATTTCTAATTGTAGCAAAATTAATTCAAAAGTGTATAAAACATCCTAAACAGGTTCTTCTTCACATTTCAAGTAGAGCTCTGATATATACCTATAATTAAGGCTTAAGAGTTCAGCTATAGTAGTCGAATTAAAGGTAGGAGTCTCCATCTGAAGCTGGATTTTGAATTAATTTCAGTCATTCAGAATCCGGCTATAGACAAAACCCTCCACCTCGACTCCGGCTCTGCTACAAAGCTGCATGATTATGAGAGAATTCGGACTAGAATTAGGTCTGTTAATTTTTAGGCCAAACCAAGCGTGTGTAGAGTATCATATGTTAAGCTCGAACGGCTTTTGAGCTTTTCTTGCTGTTATTGTGTTGTAGAAATTTGGCTAAAAATAAACGTTTGGTGTTTGGTGATAAAGAAGGAGGGTGTTGAATGAGGTAAATTTGACTTTTCATCGGCCCTCTCTCTCTCTCCATGTAAGTCACTTTCTTTTAGGGAAAAATATCTACATTTCAACATTACATTGAAATTACTTTCGTCCAATTAAAAGGATGTTTACATTGGAACTATTTGGCGGGTCAAGCTTCTTTTTGAGTATTTGTTTGAAAATTGTGAAGCAGTTTCCAAAGCTTTACATGCATGCGTAAGAAACAAAATCGTTTCCTTTCGGAAATTGTTCACGTCTGAATGAGGACTCAATTGTTCGGCAACTAGGATGCGTTAATTATTTCCATTTGATAACAAAAAAACACACACACACACATTGAACAATTGATGCTACATGTCATGTCAGATTTCCAACTAGTTTTCGAACGCTGATGATTTTTTATGAAAATATCAGGTTATTATCCATCATTGTAATTCGGGGTTTCCAGGTTTCCAATCCAGGTTTCTTACAATTTTCATGGTGGCAGGGTAACTCTCTACTTTCGGGGAGTGGTGTAAATCGCAAAGTTTTACATAATTAATATTACTAGTCACTCATTTAAACCGATCAAATGACCATCCTGTGGAAGCTTACATTTTTCTAAATATTTACCTGAATGCAATTAGGGTTGAACTATAAATCTTAGCAACATGTCTTTTTCGTTTTCGAATGCCTGCTTCATGGTCAGCTAAGAGAGCCATATAAAATCTGTAGCTGACAATTTCAAGGTCTTTTACTGATAACTGCCCAGAATACTGAGACCACACAAGACAATGTTTTATGCGATAACTATGGTAATTACTATTCATTTGATTGTGTTTTTATCGTGTTGAGCTTGTATTTTATTTATTTTTGTACCACTTTAGACGGCCATTCATGTTGTAAAAAGCGCTTAATGCATTTTGTTATTGCTTGCCGTTCGCTCATGCATCATAGGAAGTAATTCAAATTCGAAAGTGAGAGCAAGTTCAGTAAACCATGTTGTTTTCGTGATCTATAAAAAAATGAAAATGTGGTACAAAACTATGATTCATGATTCCACGGTCGATTCTCTTTGATAATTAATAGTTTAATTTGCACGTTTTATTGCGATCATTTCGACATAGCTTCTTCTTCTTCTTCTTTGGATTTTTGTTAAAAAACACGTTGAACAAATACTCACATGTCTGGGAGCTTAAAATTGTTTGACCCCTCGGTTATCAAAATGAAATCATTTTCTGTTGGCGAATTCGAGCGTATTAGCAATGGTATCAGCCGACAATACTCGGACACAAAATTCGTATACGCATACATGTACATGTGGATGGATCGGTGTTCATTTGGTGTCCAAAAATTAAGCCCCCACCCATCGACATATTAAAAACAATAATTGTCGTTTCTAGCGATGATAACTCAATAAAGAAATATAGATTAATTGAAATTAATCAAAGAAAAGATCACTGGAGCATTTGCTCTAGCACGTTCTCATTGATACAACGTTCTCGCCTCTTAGCGAATGTCTGTTTAAACAAAACAAAAAAACATGTTTAAATATTTAATTGTAATTAAAATCGGCATGTTATTTGTGGTATTAGGGTTAGCAGTTCTAATATCCCAGATGGTGTAGTTTTGCCAGCATCTAAATCCAGTGAAAGTTCCCCAAATGAAGTATAGGACTATAATATCTATCAGGGTGTGGATTCTAGTTCTATGAAAATAGGAAATGTAAAATATTTCCTTTATTAAATTTTTCATTTGGCATTTCTTTCCTTTATCAAAGTTTTAATTTCACATTTACATAGAACAAGAATTGAGGCCCAGGTAAAACTTTCGAAGATTTTAAATATTTGAAATTTCCAATTTTCCAGGGCTGTAAGAACTTTGACGATTGGCTAATAATACATTTCGGTATTATAGGAAACCAAGTATCCCCAGATACACTTTAAAATCAAACACAAATGTAATCAAAAGAATTTTGAGAACAAACATTTATAGCCACGATTTAAATTTTCAAACTAAAATTTTTATATTTCAATTGCAGTTAAATTGAAATTACCCAGGTAAATACTTTTACAAAATTCCTGATACCCCACAACTTACCGTTATCGACAGCCCTATTTTCTGATAATACGTACAAGAAATAACAACTAATAGTTTGCCTTTTTCGGTTCATGCAAATTTGATTTAGTTGCTACCTTTCTAATATTCAGTAATTAGCGCCTTCACTTTAATTCTATTAACTATTGGAAACCGTCACCAGTGGCATAATTTGTATGTAAGTGTGGGAATTGATTAAGTGGCTACAAGTCACATGAGAACAAAGCTAATAATGTGATCACTGCTTGACTACGCATTGATGCTGGAAACCTTTGATGATTGCAAGGCTCCATCTCATCTGGTTGCCAACGAATGAATGGATGGAAATTTTAAATCGCAACAGACAAATATAATTAGGATAATACTTTAAGTAGGAAGTTAATCGCACTGATAACGTGGTCTCAAAGCAAACAGCGCCGACACTCTACGCTCAATTCAGACAATAGCATTCCACGGCCGGAGACCAGTCATTACGATAAGAGAAGTGTTTCTAGTGGCTTACTTTCCTTCTCATTGTGTTTTGTTTTACTGCCAGATAAGCAAAACATTTTGTAATCAATTGTTTAGTGTCCATAAATCAGGCGTAGATACGCGACATGCGGATGAAGAGCTTACCTAATTTGCCCATTAAATCTTCCAGTACGAAATCAACAGCCATTTTTGTGCGTTTGTGTGTGGCTGTCTGTTTAGAAATGCAACTTCGTTGAGAACTTCACCGATAAAGTTTATTAATTACAGATACTGAAATGAGTGTTTCGCCAAAAATCACATATCCGGGGTTATTAAACCTTTGAAAATCTGAGACGAACACACGAACCAATCGAAATTATTTACTGTGTGGCCAAGAGTAAAGCGCGTTTTGTTATTGAATTAACATTTAAATCAGCACATAACGTTAATAACGTTCGATTGTAATCTTCTCGGTTTCAAAATCCGTTTCCGAACTTAACTCAAGAAAACAAATATCTCTGAAGTGGCCAATAAGCAGCCAACCGCCGACCGATTCGCGTGCGAAACCTAACGCATTTATAACACAACTAAAGTTCCACAACAAGCAGGTCGCTGGAAGTTGCTGTTGGTGGATCTTCCATAAACAACAGCAGCAGAAGCAGCAGCAGCAGCGAACGAAATAAACAATATCTTTAGCCGTCACATTAGCTGTTGTTTTTCTTTTCCAACTACGCTCATTTATTGGCGATCATTTGATAGTCTCATTGCTTTGTGCGACTGCTTGGTCTTGGTTTTCCATTCTCTTTTCGCCAAAAAGAATTGTTAATTGTTATTAGTTTTCGGACTGCTCTATGGCGTCTAATACCAATCAACCAAGCCTCCTGCTCTCACCCGACGATTGGCACATTAATATTTGGACACATTGTGCTCTCCAATGGGTGTTATGACGCCAACAATGAAACTGGTTTCGCTTGCTGAAAGAGTGCAAAAACAGCAGCACGAGCGTTACTGTTTGCTTATCGATCACATTCATCGCTGTTGTTGGTAACAAAGCAACATTTCTTGTTTAACCGTTAACAGTCGACTGATTCTTGTGGGGCATAGTCATAGATAGGCACAGACATGTGTAGGTAAAATTGTTTGGATGCATTATTATTCCTGCAAAAATCCCACAATGACGACATTTGCGTCATTAACTCCGTCATGACATGAAAACATGAAAAAACATTTTTTACTAACGACAATGTAGGCAGTCATTCCAAAAATGCAAACAGTAACATCTGACGTTCATCCAAAACCCGGTTTGTGGGTATTCCCAAAAACCAATTGAAAAACATTTCGTAAGAAAAAAGTTTGAGTATTTCTTGCAATGCGTTGGAAGAAGCAGAATTCCAGAAGCTTAATTAACAAAAATTCCCATTAAAATAAAATAACATCTGGATAAGATTTACCTTTAACCCCCCCTTGATTGGGAACTGTCTCTAAGACTTTATAACGTTTTACAAAGCGAACTAAATTATTTGTTTTCAATATTTTCTCGAGCTTAAGGCTTATTGTAATGTTATTCTCAAACCATTTTGGTATTTAGGTCTACACTTTGCATATTTTGTAGAGCTTCACATAAAAGTTTTTATGGGGAATTTGTGAGAATTAAATCATACCAACTATGATTATAGTTATAATCCAAAGTCCAAAGAAACTAATATATGAGAGGATTATCCTCCTCTGAATCGATTTCTACTAAAATTGAAGAGGCATTTGTGCCTTTTCAATTCGGTCTTGTATTACACATTTGGTGCACAATTAACATAAAATCGGATAAAGATATGTATGTGAACTGTATTCAAATCTGAACCGATCTCGATAAGATATGGCAAAGGTATTTCTGAGCTGTACTCGATATATTTCCCCGAATATCGCTGTTACAGAGTGCTTTTTTTGGCTTTGGAGAACAAATATAACAATTCGGATGAACAATATATGACCACCAAATTTGACATACTACTTTCTAGACTCAATTTGGTCGTAAGTGCCACATTCCATCCCATTTGGGCTAAAATTACACGTTTGGTGCACAATAAAAGGCAAATCGGACGAACATATATATATCCAAATCTAAATCGATCACGATAAAATTTAGCAAAAGTATTTCTGATCTTTATTTTATATATTTCCCCAAATATTGTTGTTGCAAAGTGTATATTACGGCATCGGATGGCAAAAATAACACATCGGATGAACAATATATATGGGAGCTATATCTGAACCGATTTCGATTGAATTTGGTATACTCATTTCCAGACCTAATTTGGTCGTATGTGCAAAATTGTATTCTATTTGGGCTGATATTACACTTTTGGTGCACTATGAAAGGCAAATCGGACGAAGATATATATGTGAGCTATATCTAAATTGTGACCGATTATCTCCAATTTCAATAGGGTTCGTCCTTGGGTCAAATAAAAGATTTGTGCATAATTTTATCTGGATCGGGAAATAAATGCGACCTGTACTTTGTTTACAAAAATACATGCACACAAGTCGACTCAGAACGTGATTCTATGCAGTTCATCAAAAAAAAAAAAAAAAAAAAAAAAACGATGGGTCTATCCCGTTTCCTTTTGCCTGTTACAAACAAATGCACAAAGCCATAATATCCTGACCACATTGCAATGTAGGGAATAAAAAATTAAATTAAAACACAAAACGACATATCGATTTTGATACTAACATTACAAATTGATAACAACATGTTTTGTTGTTGTCTGTCGGTAATGTCCAAATACGCAAAAATATTTTTAATTTCACTTTTCCATAAAACAAGAATACAGCCCGATAAACTAAAAAAATTATAAAAAATGTCAAAATTTTGTAGCAATTTTGGCACACTAACATATCTTGAATTAGATATTTTAAGAAAAGGATTGATGCTCGAAACAGAATCTGTACATCAGGAGTACTTAACAAAAGCCCGACATGTAAATGATTGCACAGCAAGTATAGGCACAAATGAAAATCAAGTAAGGATTAATTTAAGCAAGCACTTATATATACAAATATATATAGTCCTTATATAGTTGATTCACATAGATAATTGCATGGAGATGTTAAAACTGAATATAGCAAGTTTGGAGGAAGAGTTACTACTCATTGAATGCGATTTGATTGAATGCTCTAAAGTTGTGGAGACCATAGAAAATTCCCAAAATTGTAGCATTTGCAGGTGTCTTGGAATTCCACCAAAAACTGAACGCGAAAAGTTCATGGACTTGTTGCAAAAAACTTCATTTCATATTTGGCAATTATATGATTTTTCATCGCACGTAGAGAAGATTATAAAACATTTTTGTGTTCCAAAGACCACCTACGATATTGTAAGTTTACTGATATAAATATATCGCAAACAACACATGCAAGATCATAAGTTCAGATTTTCTCCCCTCTGAAAAATCTCAGTTGATCATATCGGCTGCTTACTTTCAGATTTTTCGTATTTTAAATTGTCATAATGTCATTTTATGTAATACCGAACGGAACATGGATTTAGTTATGGACAAATTGCTAGCAATAACCAATTATCTAACCTGGAACAAAAGTTTCTTCCGCAGACCACTTGGCAAGCGTACATTGAACTCCTGAAGTACACAACAAATTGAAAGCGGTATAAATTTATGTTAACATCTGTTTACTTTGGAACTATAGTTTACACTTTTATACATACTCAGCATGTAATTATAGATTATAAGAAATATATATGATATACACTGGTGAATGAATAACATTTAATGAATTATGATCCCTAGACTAAGTTATAACAAGCGCTAATTCCTATGCTGTCTCCCGGAAGAAGATTACATCATCAGCAATAACACTAGTGCTGGTCTTTTGATTGCCTTGCTGGTCGGTAATTTCACCATAAGTGACTTTTCCTTGTACCATGGCTCTTTGGCCTTTCCTCAGGTACTGCATTACGGTTTCACGCAAATTTGGTTTGAAAACAACAACGCGATGCCAGTCTGTTCTTTGAGCCCAATCGCCATTTTCGTATCTGGAATTGCATGCAATATTCCAAATTAATTTTTGAATCAATTACATAAAGTCCAAATAATCCATACCTGTAATTTGTGTGAGTGGCCAAAGAGAATGTGACAACGGGATGTTCTGTGCTTCCTCGCGATTGAGGATCGGCTCCAACTCGCCCCAGGAGTGTAATAGTGTTGATAGCTATATATAAAATAAACGTTCATTAGCTACATTCTAAAAACTAAATGCACGAATTCTTTGTTATCTTACTCTTCTCGGTGCGAGCCGGGGCTTCATTTGAGTAGCATCTGTTGAGAGCCGGTATCAATGACTTTGATATCAAAATGGGCCGCATCTATTTGCAAAAATGTAAGTAACGCAGCATTTATTTGAAAAGGAAGGTATTTACCAAGGCTCCAGTCTGTTTGATTAAGGAATTCATCTTTATTTCAAATGTCAATAGAATAAAAACACGAGTAACACGCGTCGCGCCTCCCTACAATCAAAATTACAAAGCACCCAAAAAATCCGACGCCGTGGAAGTCAGAAACCTATGAAAGTGATACCAAGACAATATAAGTAAAAAGTGCTGCCAATTCACTTGTAGAGAAATTTGTATAATTTGGCATCACTTACACTAGTTCGTCCAATGTCCGAAGGTGTTGCCACAAAATTAATATGAAAAACACTAGCGACACTTACAATATTTTTGTAACACTTTTGTTCACTGTTCTTTTCACTGCAATGAAATGATTTACTTGAATAAATTGTAGATGTCGTCCCACAGATGTGTAGTGACAACTGTTAGGAAAACAAAATATATTTAATTGTTTGTTTGATCTCAAAAACTTAAATATAAAAATGCACCTTTTTTAAATCCATCTGCGTTGCTTAACCAACACTTTAGCCGATAATTCAACCAACCGCTCACATTGATGCGGGAATGCGGGGTTGAACTCATCGCTTGTCACAGACGTTGTAGTTATTTTCGTTGGCCTGCGTTTCATGGACAGCCGAACCGTGGATTGAACGATGCCTAAAATCAAACATCTGAATTTGTATTTTTGTGTGTGTGAATGTAGTCATCAAATACATGGACATCACTGCAGAATGATTGTGATGAAGACAGCGGTAGGGGTGTTAAATCCAATGGGCTTGTAAAGTTTGGGACTGGAACTAGCCTAGGTTCAAGAACCGAGTACCTACATAGAAATGTAGATATGTTTCAAAGAAGGGATTTGCAATTGGAGCCCTTTTTCACGCTGGGCCAGGGACAAAAGGTTTAATACTAATCGGAAAGACTACAATTTTTTGTGTCACATATGTCAGAACTTAGCCGTAAGGTAAATTGCAATACTACTCTTAGCATTGTTTTTGGATAAAAAAAATGCTAGATGGAAAAAATACTGACAAACCATAGGTTACTTTCTTCATTGCCAATAGAAAACAATAGAAAACAAGTAGGATTTTTTTAAATATTCTAGTCAAATTAACAAAAATGTGCCTCCTTGAAAACAGGAATTTTTTCATATTTGTATGAAATTCTATTCTTAACATTTATTGAAGATCTAGCCACAACAGCTCGTACGTCTAGCTGGTCCATACTTAATATTTCAATGATATTAACATCGATTTTGGAAATGGACTACATCTTTAAAATAAAATGAGTGTTTAGAAGTAACAAAATAATTAGATGGGAAACATAGTTCTTACATAAAGCGAGCGGAAAAAAACTCAAATTCAAACACTTCCGAAATAAATAAATCTTTTGAATTTTTAAATTAGACAGACATATACTACGTCTCTAAGAAAAACTATAACTATGTGTTCAATTGGTATTGAAAATCGGCTGTAGAAAGCTCTTGCAGATAAACTGACTGGAGATTGATGGAAGTACTCATTTGAGACGACTCAAATATTGAGACTGATATGGGTTTCGCCCAAACAGACTTTTAATATCAAAAGAACAAATAGGTCCCGACATTATCGACAAAATATATGGTAGTACTGGGACGTGGTTAACACTTCTTATACCCTCCACCATAGTATGGAGGATATATTGAATTTGTCATTCCGTTAGTAACAACCCGAAATATACACCCCACAAAGTATATGTATTTGTGATCAGCATAAAATTCTATACCGATTTAGCGATGTCCGTCCGTCTGTGGAAATCACTGTAGCTTCCGAACGAATTGATGTATAGATTAATATAATTTCACTCAAATGTATATTATGTCTGCAGGACTTTTGGTATTAAAAATGGGCCATGTAGGTCAACGTTTTGGTATAGCTCCCATAGAACGGTACCTCCCGATATTCGGTATTTTTATGATTTTAGCGACATTATTCAACGGAATTGTTTCAAATTTGGTATTAGAAGCTCGAAATGGATACTATAGCCTAAGACAGAAAATGATTTTACGATTTTGATGATTTTAGCTAAATTATTCACCGAAGTTTCGCATTTGAATATTGTAATGGCTTATGCCAAAAGTTACCTATGCTGGTCCATGTCGTCGTATAGACACTAATATAACAGCTACATGCTGTATTTTTAAGATTTTAACATAAAATTTTAACGGATTTTATTGTTTTTAAGAATTGCTAAATTCGTTCCAAATGGTGTAGGGTATTCAAAGTTCGGCCCGGCTGAACTTGCAGCTTTTCTACATGTTTTTATTAAGATCAAATGCATTCTATTTTCAATGGTAAGAAAATAGTATATCGTTCCTGAAAAGCATGTCTTCTTAATTGAGCATGCGGGAGGGTAGCTGGAGCCAAATGTTTCCAAGTAATTACTGCGCCAATGTATAAAATACAAATCAGGATCTAAGGTCTCCTTTGACTAAAAAACGTCTACAATATTCTGCAAAGAAGGTGCTTAAAAGTACCATCTTCCAGAATAAATTGACCTAAAATACTACCGTAAAGCCTTTCTTTTCTAGATTAAAATTCTATTGATTTAACTTGAGAATATTTCAAACCATGCTGCAGAAACATTACCTAATACAGCCTTAAGAATTGATTGATGGGTGTATCAGGAATTTAACTTCCTCTTGCTTTAGCACGAATTCATATCGAATATAAAGGCTTTTAGTTTCCCTTAAAATATAGTACACGTGTCTACAATGGTAAAATCTAGATCGGAAAATTAAAGTTAAATATTAAATTCTATGAGATTTTGAGTTAAGATTAACAGCAATTGCAGTAGTAAGTACATTAGCCTTTTTATTAGATTAGAAGGAAATTTCCAAACTCACTCCAGAGCTAAGCCTGATAGAAATATTGTAATATAGTCCGAATTCAGCTCATCATTTAAACCAAAAAAGTCAACAGATGACTTCTGAATAAATAATTCTCCAATCTACGAACCGCTTAAATATTTTATTATTTTTTAAGATTTTACCTTCAACGAGCATTTCATTGCCCTTGAATCCAATTGACTGCACCAATCCAATTTTCTGAAGATCGTACATACTATTCATCTTCTCTCCCTTACCCAATGTAGAAGACAACATTCAAATCTGTAATCTGAAAATGCACAAGCGAACAATACACTTCTGTTAACAATTCCAATTTATTAATTACACTTACCACAATTCCATTTCGTCCAGTAACAACTACAAATGCTCTGATATTAACATCTATTGGTTCACCGAAGACCGACAACAGCTAACGCGTGTCCTTACTTCGCTCACAGTCATTGGCAGTGTCATTGTTGTTGATGTATGACATTGGTGTAGTCATAGGAAAGGGCAACGTATCTCCTGCAAATGTAAATCATATTTTTCATATAAATAGCATTGTTAACAAAAAAAAAGGGGTTAAGTCAAAGGACCTGCAATTATAGCAACATCATTTAGTTAATAATTCTTCATTGGTATGGTGAGATTGTTGATGTTTCGCCAAACCCGCTTTATAGGTACCAATAGTTTAATAATTCTTTGTTTTAACGATAGGTTTAATGATAGGTCACTTTTCATATATTGCGCATTTCGCAATTATGCTGCGAAGGAAATTAAAATTTCTTGAGAATTCTTTTGGTGGATATGTAAATTTCGCTAATTATTTCCACTGCGGTTCCATGAAAACTAGTTACACACAAAAGCATATTCGGCATGTACGATCACTTTCCCAGTAAAAAATTACTCAGTACCATGTACTGAGTGCCATACACTGAGTACCATGTACTGAGAGTTTTTCTCTCTCGCTTGCAGTTATAGAACAACATTTTGTAGAATCCCGCAAAAAACATTTGTTTTATTAAAGTTGTTAAAAAAGGAATACAAATTGCAATATTTACGGTGATTAGATAAAATAAAATAATATGGGGTGAAAAGATTTTCACATTGGCCACAAAACAAGTGACTTTCGATCGGCTGATGATACTGGAGAATAGGTGTGCAAAAAGTAAACAGAAGGTATTATTGCAGTAGCTTGCAACTACTCAGCTGTTTTGTCAAAACAAAGCAATTTGTTCCCCATTTGTCCAGCAAGAATTTGCAAACTATCACTGAAAGAACTCTTAAAATTTCTCTCTCCAACCGCTCTCTTTTGCAGAACCTTTGACCTAACAGACGAGTTCCAGTAACAATTTGTAACAATTGTTACAAATTTTAGGGAAACCAGACACACTAAATTCTTACTGAGCGAATTTCCCCCAGTAAGAGTAAAGATACTCTCAGTAAATTAAACATCCAGTAATAATTTGTACAAATCATATACGCACACATATATATTCCCATTAAAATCTATTTCTGATGGTATGCATCCTTTAATGATGACGTAGGTACCAATCATCAATTTGTACACAGCAAAAATGTACTCCAACACAACATGACAGTTGCTAACAGTTGTACCCGCCAAGGAAATGCACATTCAAATTGAATTCCATGTGGCGGAACATAACAGAACTCATTCCACATTCCACCGAAGCACGAAATATGAATTTATGTGCGATCTCTCGCTCTCTAAATGGATCTATATTTACCACATTAAGAATTTCTCTAATGCCCTTAATATCAACCCCCACCCAATAGCCATTTGTCCATGCATCCATCCACCCAACCATATTTTCTTCTGTTGGTCTTAAAACTATTCCGAATCTTAAAGACCTTAAGAAAATCACCCAAAAACCCTCCAGCCCGTGAGTGTTCACATTAAAGTGAATATCTTTCGAAACCTAAACTCGAATAGAAAACAAAACGAGCACAAAATAATACAAATGAAGTATGTACATACAGACACACATACATACACAAGCGCTCAAATGTCGATATGTATGCATGTCTGTTAGCCTGTATATCCCACATTTATGGTGAATGCTTGGAGGTTGGCAGTTGGATGGCATAGAGAAGGAAAAAACCAACACAAAAATTACGACGACAACAACCCGAAATCGAAAGAAACACTGCCTTTACACGGTGACATTTTTTAACCATGCCATTTTTTATTGTTGGTAAAAGGTGTAGAGAGACAAGGATAGAAGAAAAAATGGCACGATAAGCCACCGCACAGGGTTACATGCCATTTTCTTTGCATTTCTCTTTTTGCTTCTTCTGAATTT